GGAGGCCCCCCCCCCCCGACCCACCTTTCACTTTGGGTTTTTTGGGAAACATTTTGAACCCCCCTCTTTTAAATCCTGGATCCGCCCCTGAGTTATGTCAGATAATAACATTAAATCAACATTGCAGCGAGGCTTGTGACGCTATAGTCAGGAATTAGGCCTACATTATACAACGGACGAATGTATTAAAATATAAGTACAAGTCACATCGGACCCGAACCGAAATTCGGACCGCGCTTCTGATGCACTGAACGCCATCTTCCCTATTTTTACACTGATTCTGGTCAGTTCGGCAGGCCTTCCGATCCGAAAATTCAGATTCGTTGTGAATGAGGCTTTAATCTAAAATAATCTGCTTTCCTTGTATGATTGACAATTTAGTTTCTCTTGTCAATCTTGATCTCGTGTAGGATTTCTCCGAATGTCGTAAATTCTGGAAGAGTATTCCTTTCCTAAACGCGGTACGATATTTACTACTAACAATATGGTAAATGATAGGGTTAGCGGCCGAATTTAGAAATATCAGTATCCTTGATGTGAAAATAATGGAACTTAGTGTATCTTCGGAAACAAGCTTCTCTTCAAACTTGTTAGCATGTAGATTATACACAAAAGTGAATACTCGGATAGGAACTGTACTTATAATGAAAAGGAATAAAACGACAAAGATCATAATCGCACTCTGGATCTTCATTTTTGTCAGGTGCGCGGACGAGCCCCCGGTGTCTGAAATGTTTTGACGATTGCACAGATGAATTAATATAATGATATATAGAGTAGACACACATGGTACTATTATAACTGTAATAAAAGAGTCAAAATAGAATGTTTTGTTAAAGTTGTCACACCTAACTGGGGTTTTTAAGCCATTGCAGTACACGCACACCAGAGCATAGTCAGGAAATTCGGGAAAATGGGAAGTAATGTTTTCGTTCATTCCGACGAGTATGGGGTACTCTGCTAATGTTGCAAACGTGAATGTAGGGATTTTATATATGATAATGACAACGCTAGAGACAATGCAAGCTATAGTCGATCGCTTTGAAACCTTCGATTTATCTAATGTCATCGGGTGACAAATAGCTCTGTAACGTTCAATGGTCACACAAGTGAATATAACAGCAGAGAAGAGAACACAAAAATCTTGGATTGTCAGGTAAAATTTACAAGAAACAACTCCAAGGCTTGAGAAATCCTCGTGTATCCGACTTGACAAGTACATGATCCATTGTACCGGTGCCATCAGAAGAAGAAACAGCATATCCACTACTGCGAGAGTAAACAGGTACACGTAGGGTGCAGTGCGCATTGATTTCAGACGAATAAATATGACAATCACGAACAAGTTTCCAACAACGCCAACTGTAAATATAATTGGTAAAATAACGGTTAATAACAACTCTTCGCTGTGGGTGTACGTCATCGATTGTACAACTGCGCGTAGATACGCGTACTCACTGGAATCACTTCCGTTGTTCATTACGATAGCGTTGAAAAATACTCAAGTTCAATATTTGTTCATTAATTTCCGGCCAATTAACGGTGACTCGATTATAAGTTGTTGACGATTTTAGTAATTTCCGATCCGTATCTGAAATAAAATGATAAAAGTTAATTAGAAGATAGCAGTCACCAGAAACTGAACCCCGGCCGTTCAAAGCAAACAATCAGGTTGCCTTTACCCAGTACCGTTCGTGAATTTATCGGAGGGAAATCTCCCCCTACTACCTGTCAAACCACGCGCGCAACAAAAAATTGCCAATGTCAAAGTCAATGTCAGACTAGTATTGCAAGCTGAGTTCTGACTGGCTTACAAATTACGACGTTGGCTTAAAGTAGCTAATCACGGATAAGATAAAATCCACACTTTCTAAGTAGTAGCATGGGTGATTAAAACATGGACCTATTAATAAGTCCATGATTAAAATAACAGAATTTTATGCAACCTGGATTTTCTGCCTATCATTCGCAGACTGACAATTGCCAAATGACACAGTGCTTTCTCAATCAGAAGATATCTTATTAAATACGACACATTTTCTTGGGAAAAAGTGTGGGGGATGCCCTCCCCCCCCCTTCACCGGTTACTACGGGCCTGATCTAAAACGGGCTTTATGCATGATGGTACCATCTGTAGAATGTAGTCATACTAAATAATTAACTTCCGTTTACGTTCATTATATTAATGATAATAGTGAGGTTTCGCAAACTTACGAAAACGATAACAAATAGGCCTATATTGTTGTCATCACAGTTTTAGTCAATCTATTTCCTACCATAGTATCCTTTCACAATTACGTAGGTAATCCCTGCCTTTTTTTTATAAAACATATTCAGCTCGTACGGTATATGTATTGTAAAGAATGTTTTATAAAAGAATGACGATAATGAAAATAACGTATTCGTATTCGTTACCGTATCGTTTTCGTGAGCTTGCGAGATCTTCCTTATGAAAACACCGCTCTAATCATTTTTATTAAGCGTCTCCGTCTATTGAATATGCACTGCATTGAAGCCGAAATAAATGTTTAAGCGACCTTTTATGAAGTACAGTGTATGGGATGCTCGTTTATTACATGAGTCTTGATTGAAACCATCGCAGAAATCACTGGAAAATAGGCCTACGACATCCATCGCTCATACGACACCTTGTAATACTGGTGAGAAGTACAGAGTTAATGATAGGTACGGTGGATATTATGTGGTAAGGTTATAGGATATGGAAGTACAAAACCTCCGTGTCTTGAACAATATAGTGATATTTGAATATTTTATCAAGTCTAGCAAATCCTGTGGTGTTTTTTTTCTACCCTAAAACGAACAAACCGTTTTAGGAATTCATTAATTCCCATTAAAAATATTATTTAACAATATAATTGTAGAATATTCAGTGGTTTGGCTATTTGCTGCATTTAATTGCATTATTTTTAGACTTTAATTTTTTGACTTCAATAAATATAATTTATATTGTGAAGTTTTCGTGTACATGGCTTAGGACAAGCGGATATGATGATAGAAATCTTGAAGAATCTTGCCATGATATGCCCAGTCCCTTTTAGTTACAGTCGATTTAAGGCACTGTGCTTTAGGGGGTATGGCCATATGCAAATAATGTGAGAATGGTATTATTCAAACTCGATGATAATTAATCGCGGATAATTCATAGAGGCCTATGCCTATATTGAAATAGTCTTATTAATATTATTCGCAAGGAGCACAGCTTGAGTGCCTATAATTTTTGCAGTTGTGTTGAATCTCGAAGAATATATTTTACATTACTATGTAGCATATTCATTTATGATGTTGTTCCAATACAATAAAAACCTTGTTACAGCACACGGCAAAACTCATTTAGTTAGTAATAATATCAGTAATAATAACAATATAGGCCTTATTGCAAAGCCTTATGTATACATTTTTCAATTCTCATAATTAAAACTCTCCTGTGTTATTATTACACCTAATCATTGCTGAATGATTCTACATATCGATTTGTTATAATATTACTTTCATTGTGGAAGGCAGTCACTTCTACTTTTAACAAAATCCCATAAATATTTTGAATAACTTTTAACTGAACAACTCATTTTAACGTATGCCAAAAACTTCTCCAGTATTTTTACATTGCCATATTGCATTATAGATGATTGTGTAACCACAATGTTGCTTATAAAAATGTTTTGTCTTTGTGATGAATGGATGACCCCCACAAAAGATTTTTAAAAATCCCATAAAGTGGATGAGTCAGATGAAATGGAATATACTTTCTGAAATATCAATACATTTAAAGCCGGGCACTAACTGTGCCCGACGGTCGACGATCGACGCGATTCTATGGAGAATGCAACGCCACGACGGGCGCGCAACCGATCGTTTTTAATGACGATCCGTTCAGACTGACAATCACCAGACGGCATCGCGTCGCCTAACGCTCACAGGGAGCGGAGTTTGATTCCGTCGGCCCACGGTCGTACGACGCAGTAAGTGCCCGGGGGCTTTCAAAACACCAAGGCGTGTTTGTTATGGATTGCTTGTATAATCATGAGCCGCGTTTGGCGAAAAAAAATACGAGTGCGGCGTTTATTCATCTTTTCATTTATTCTCAGTAGTTACAGTTAAATTGTCGCTTTTTAACAATGCAGTTTTTATCATTATTGGGGAATCACATGCTATTTTGGCATTATGAGCTGATTAGGTGTGAATATGCATTTCTTGTCATCGACCGTTTATATTTTCCAATATATTTATGACGAAATGCTAGGCCAAGACGTTATTTACAAAAACAAACGTAGCCTATGTTTAGATTCTAATTAACCGTAAATTTCCTGGATACTTCCGACTTATTTGATAAATTATTTTCGGATGTCAAAGCATATCATTTGATGTAGCATATGGGCAAACTATCGATTTGTGTCATTACGCGAAAGACACGATTCTCAATTTTGAATTATTTCGTGGAGACACAGTTTCAGTGACATCTTGAGTGGCACGCTTAACGACAAACAACACTGCCAATGTCGTACGTCCCATGATATGCTGAAGTACTCGCACGATTTATTAACTATTAAAAAAACTCCTTAGTATTTCTATTTAAGAAAAGAAAAGAAAGGAAAGGAAGGAAAGGAAAATGCAATAGAAATAAGTAACAGTTATTAAAGATGACACAGTCAATTTATATTATTTCCTCTTAATTTCAACCCACGCTCACCGACTGCACAAATACCGCCCCCAGCCCCACTCACTTTAAAATTCCTCCCATTCCCTTACGGTTCGTAGAGAATGCCTTTAACTCTAACCATCACTCCACACACCTACCAAATCACACTATCAATTCCTTTCCTTTGTATTGCAACGCTTTCAATTAGCTGATATTTTGGTTTTATATAGAATTATGTAAAATGACACTTCCATAACGTAAAGTTATGTAATTTGATCTTCCGACTTCAACCCACACGACTGTGAAATCGACCTCCACCAAATATTAAGGTTCCTCCCATGCTCGTTCGCGGAGAATGTCTGTTCCCCTAACGGATTTAAAATCACAGTAATGTTAAGCTATCGTTACTACCATTACTACGATACATGTTCTCGCCCTACACACCACGTCACACTATCAATAGCCTACCTTTTACTTTTTCAATTAGCCGATTAATTTTGATTTTATATAGCATTTTTCAAAATGACACTTTCATTACGCAAATTATTTCATCTCTTCAACTATATTTTAAGATTAATTCCATTCTAGTTGGCAGAGAATGCCTGTTCCCCTAAAGTATTCAAAAGCTACTACATTTACTAAATGTGTTTTTTTCTCAAACTATCTCTACATAATACATTGCACATGGGAATACATTTCCAAAAACATGCCACACACCATGTCAAAATATCAATATCCTTCCGTTTCCTAACCCTAACTTATTTAAACATTCAGTAATATTAAGTTACTACTAAATTTACACATGTTTTCATATAATAATTATCTCCTCACCATTGCACATATTATACTCAAACACACCACATTTACCCCTCCCCTCCACACACCATGACACCTGTCACACTCGTATAAATCCATCACCTCTCGTTGATTATTTAGGCCTGTTGTTTTTTTTTTTTTCTATTAGTCAATTATTTTGATTTTTACCTGTAAAATGTTGATCACCTTTCGAATCAGTTTTTGCTAATGACATCAAATCAAATGTTGAAAGACGAAAACATTTTACCTTGTTAATATAGTCCTGCCGCTACTAATTGCCAGTGATAGCATAGATAGCCGAGTCGGAATTCTAGGTCTCGTTCCTTTTTCTTGTTATTACATATGCACAGCACCACCTCGGAGGATCACAATTAATAACTATTCCCAGAGTGATCGAAGTTGTCGACACAGCAAGAAAGGCGCTGTACATTTGTACCAATTAAGAATCATCCAAAGGGTTTGCTCAACGAAGGGGCGGTCTGGAGAGAAATATACTCACTACAGAGATGTGTGCATATTCATGTAGACGATCATTGGTTGATTGAATGATATTGTGTCGACTCGCACTTATTTGACCTGTGGGCAGCGTTGCGTATACATATACAGGGCATAATGTTTCAGTATAAATAAGCGCAGAGTCTCTATTTAATGTGCCAAAGGTTTAATGTCATACACCTCATTTTCGAAAGTAAGAGGTTAATAAACTATGGAAACATAAATATATATTCTTTAGATTTTATATTTTGTAGGTTTTGTAGTTATTTTAAGCGTTTACTTTACAGTTGACCTGTAAAGTATTTCTGAGTATGAAATGCGATGTGAAATGTGATCTCATCTAATTTCATATGTTATTTTTCTACCTTTCTTTAATTTTGTAATATTACATACAGTTTTTTGTGCAATGTAATTGAAGCGGATATTTGCCTTTTATGGCACTTTAGCGTTGAATGGAATTTAAAATTGAAATTTAAAAAAGTCGTATAAACATATTATATTTTTTTTTCTTTTCTAAAAACCATTTTAATTTTAGACTTGCTGTACTCTGGAACTTGATATCATGTTTGATCCTTTCAATTAGGCCTATTCCATATTTACCTACTCATATAATTATCTTCACGAAGATTTTTTTCTTTGGAAACATCAGTGAACAATTTGTCAAAATTTTGTTTTTATATAAAAAAAAATCCTATTGAACATTTAATCACGATAATCGATGATACCAAGAACATGTTGAATGTGGGTAAAGCTTTTAAGGGTGTTTTTGACTATTAATGTATACTATGCTGATAATCGGAACATTAGATTTACCGGATATAAATCCGCGGAAAAGATACGTTACAAAATGCATATAATCATTAAGTACAGGAAGTTGTAAATTAAATAAGATGATACTTAACACCGATACTTGATATTTCTTTGCTCGATGTACTACTTATGTTATTACTGTCTACTTTCCTGGGGCATAATAGCCTACATCCCATATATAGAAAGTATTATAGCACCATCATATATTTTTGGATCCTTGAAACATACGGTACGTTCAATTTAGAACATTGAAACATATAAAGTACACATACATTTGAAAGTTGTAGAGCAAATAATTTATACCGTACAAACCCTTTCTTGTAAGACTTCAGCAACGACCATGGCTATACGTTACCGTAGCTTGTCTTAGTACAATGGCCTATTCTGGTGCGGGGCTCCGGAGCCTTTCGAGATTGGCTACAAAATGTGTAGACCTGATGGAACACCAAAGGCTTAGTGGTATTAAGATTGTAATGAATGGGTTAGTTTGTCTATTACGTTAGCCTTTCTAAAGCACAAATGTGTAGTCTGATGGAATATTTTATTTATTTAATAAGTAGATCCGATATCGATGCACTAAAGCACTGTTTTTAAAATGCATATTGACATCGCATAGGGATATGGAAGGGCGAATGTAGGCCTACTACATTCTTTACATACATCACATGCACACATATTTTATTCCCTCTGCTCAGCTGCCAAGATTTTCCGCTGAATAATGAGGCGGCAAAATTAGTTTGTCAGACTACAGTGAATTCTACACTTAAACAAATAGATTATTAAATGTTGAACGATTGGTTAATACCTGTTTGTTTATGTAAGTTATGCAAAGCTTACAGCGAATATAGATTCATGGGTTTTGGGAGACAACACTGAAGTTAATTTTATGATCGAATGTCGGAGGTTTTATGTCGGCCTAGGTCATTTTAAATACAGCATAGAGTTCACTAAGCGGATATAATATCAACAAATTTGATTTAATGCATCAAAATGCATTACAGTAGATTAAAATCCAGAAATGAATTGCGCACATACTTAGTTATTGGACTTGTTTATCTCGACATCTTTAACTATAATAAAGTAGGCATATACTACGGTAGTCGATAGGCAGTTCCTTTCTTCATTTCTGTAATTTGACATTTTTATATTAACATTGTTGTATAAACTTCAATTGACAAACATCAACACATTTTTTTGTTTAAGTTTCGGCATTCGTAATCAGAATTGAACGACAACATTCACGAAAGGTTAAAGAAAGTTCACCTATTCAAATCGGATGGTTGAGCTTTAATAGTCCATCAATTTGTATACAATAGCAAATAAATCATTCTTAATTATACCAATGTGATATAATATTTCAAAGGCGTGTTTGTGGTCTCAAGTTTTATTTATTTCCCCATTGACTAACGCAAAGTGAATACAGGTCTCCAATTAAAGACAACTTTTTTGCGGTCCCAGATGAATGCCTATCTTTTATCATTAGTCGTTCCCTTTAATAAAGGACTACCTCTATTTAGAGACCAAATACCATGGTTTTTATGGACTCAAATTTTCCCTCCAAATACTATAGTGATGTTAATGCAACTATTTTCTAAATAGAGAAATTTCAAACTCACATTTTGTGCCTAGGAGTCCCAAAAGTCTCGTGTGCAGTCTCGGGACTAATGCCGCCTGCAAATCCTGCGAGCAAGCAAGAATATTCAGGAAAATAAACCCTTCTGCAAATTTACGATTATTGCATGTTTTTACTACTGACCAGTCTCCTGAAAGTCAGTGCAAAATATATTTATAGATGATTGTGAAACGAATACTCATTAAACAGATCTCCCAGGTGTGGATTTTCCAAGCTTGGGACACCTGAGTGTCGGTTTTAAATTATTATATGGATTCCATTAACCCGGTTTTCCACTAGGCGAATTTATTCGCACGAATAGAGAGCGTCGTTCATGCGCATGCGCATTCACATTTCTATAGGAGTTTTCGCTTCAACGAAATCAGTATTTCGACCGTTTTTTGCAGCAAAAAAAAAAAAAAAAAAAAAAGAGATAAAGAAAAAAAAAAAAAAAAAAAAAAAAAAAAAAAAATGCGCAGCAAATCAGATTTCAGGAAGCTAACCGACGCTTTCAATTCGCGCGAATAAATTCGCCTAGTGGAAAACAGCCTTTAGACACCACCGAAGTCCATGATTTTGGCAGACAAAACTGAAAATTTTCCCTTTAATTAAAGACTATTTTAAAATATATAAAGGCTTATTGCAGTTATTTTTACCCATGTTTTTACAAACTAGTGACTTAATCTTAAATCCCATGAGAGTGCCATTTCCGACCATCTAGAGGTGCCATAATTATAAATTTTACCTCAGCCCCAGCCGTGGTGACCCTCCATCTGTGAAAGTCCCTCACTTGGACCTCCTCTATTTCAATTTACTGGATCCTCCACTGATAATATATATCAAAAAGGCGACTTTTTTGTTTATAGACATAGGCCCTATTGAATACCGATAGCGTTAGTAGCACGTTGAAGTTTGTATTTTTTTTATAAAATGGCTATGTGAGTAGAACGAGCACAGGACCTGGTGTGTGGCTGATGTGTGGAAATGGTTTACTATGAATCAGTAACAGCATACAGTAATCCATTCTAAAACATTATGGTAGAAAAACATTCAAAAATATCATGGTTTAGCAGACCAAACTGTGTACTGGCTCTGTATTGAATATGTTATGCGATAACAATATATTTTGACAAATCAAATCAGATGACGTCATAATCATGGAAAACATTAAAATCGTAATAGTAGCGACGATTTTATCGCTTTTCCATGATTATGACGTCATCTGATTTGATTTTAAAAAATATTTTATTATCGTATACACGATAAATCTTTATCGAATCGTCCTAGTGTAAAAACTTCTCTAATTTCTTTTGTTTTCTATATGAACAATCGCTTTTTAGCTTTTTTATCGTTATCGTTTAAACAGGCCTTAACGGCGTTAGAAAAAAGACAACGGCGTTTTCATTATGGCCCTGGTGGCTATACCATAGAAATCTATGCGAGCGTCGTAGTAACTCGTAAGCCGGTTACTGCGTGCCACGGCGACGCGACGGCAAAGCGACGAAGAACGCACGCGAAGACGCGGACCCAACTGATCGTCTTTTTAATGAGAATCCGTTCAGATTTGTCACTGACAATCAGCAGACGGCGTTGCGTCGTCTATCGCTCGCCGGAAGCAAATGTGGATTCGTCGTGCGACGGTCGTACGACGCAGTGAGTGTCCGGCTTTACAGTCCAATGGGGTGACGTTATAACTTTGACCGCATAGAAACCATGATAGATTGACAGACAGTAATAACTAGATATGCTAGGTTTGTGTTTTTTTTTCTTTTGTCCCGAACCTCGTCTGTATTGCCGACTTACCTGTTTATCTATATAATTATATATATAATATATGTATATATCGTATTATTATATATTTATATATATACATGATGAAAATGGTGCTGATAATGATGTTAGCAGAACAGAAAAAAAAACATAAAAAAAAAAAACATAACCTACTTTTGTACTATCCTTGCTTTAAAAAAAACAAAAACAATTAAATTAAAAAATTAAAATCTTATCGCCTTACTAATTCTGGAACTTAGGTCTGACCAGAGACTGAATATATATAATTTGTTTGGCCTTACGTTCAACACTAATATAATATAGATCAAATATAGATGGCCTATATAGCAGAGGGCGCTACAGCAAATGGTATGATGAAAGTGACTAACTTTTTGTTAAAAAGGAAAATTATAGTTATTGGTGGTAAACTAAAATGACATTGACTTTACATTTGAAAACATTCTGGATAACATCCACTATCCACATATAACATGATACTGTGGACAAAGCTGATTAGCAGGCTACAGCAAAGGGACTTACAACGCCCACCCAACTCCAACTCTAATGTCATATCATTGGGTTATATTATGAGGTAGGCCTAACCTAATGTCAGAATTGGTTTAATTCAGTCATGTGTGTGCACTAGTAGACTACCACCCATCTCTAATTCCTACAGTATGCAATTCTGGTCTCCAACAGGAAAGCTTTATCCTCAAAATGTGTGTTGGTTGTTTAAGGCTATCTCTCCCTTGTACACTAATATAATACAAACATATACTTATTATATATTTTTAAAGAGATAAGATTCTTTCTTTTCAAAATGTTGGCTTTCTCAGCAAAACCATGATTTTAAAGTGATCACAAAAGTGCTAGCTAGCTACAGTACGGTTAAGTCGGCTTACCGCATCAATGCATTATAATTCCGTTCTGGTTGACTTTTGACTATTCATTGTTTAAAAAATAAAAGAGCTAACAATGAAGGTAGATTGTACAAAAAGACAACTCAACCGGTACAATCCTTGCTCTAAAAATGTCTCACTCTCTTATAATATCGCTTCAATTAAGCCGTTTTCGCATGAGCTATTAAAACAAATTATATATTCATAAACACGATCTAAGAATACGACCATAAAAAAAATATTTTGGGATGCGTCTGCAATCATAATGACGATATAGAAAGGTGAGTTATCCTTGAGTGTTGGCTAGAAGGTATACTACAGTCGGGACTATAAAACCGTAGGCCTAAACATGATTGTGCATGTCCACAGAGATACTGGAGGTAAGCTAGGCTTACTATCCTAGACGACACATCCTTACGCGAATGTTTAACTTTATATAGACCTAGCTCTTTTTCCGGCGTTCCATTGTGTAAATCTACATATTCCAACTGCGTTGATCTTTAGGCTTGTTGTTTGAGTGCATTACCTCTCCGTATATTTTATGTGTTTGTGAGTTTTAGAATTGTCTTGGTTATAAACCTACTGTACCTTCTCTCGCAGGTCTTCTTTTAAATATCTACGCCTATGGTCTCACTGCGTGCATCAATATTTTTACAGTAATTTACTTTGGCGATTATTTAATTTATTTCGAAATATCCTTATTGCAACAAAATGTTTGACAAGAACAAAACAACAGTAAAAGCCTGAAACAAAAACAAGATTGAAACAAATGTAATAGTAATCACAAACCAAGAAACAATATTAAAAGACCAATACACGTAATATCAAAACAATTGACTTTTATAAATAATTATTTTAGGCCAAGTTTAATTTTCTCAGATGTCATTTAATTAGTCTACACAATAATTATGTTACGTTTTTAAACATGAAACTATAAATAAAGTTTGTAAACTGAAAGCCTGCATATATATATATATATATATATATATATATATATACGAACATGCCACTGCTCTCTGCAAACAGTAATGGAATCAGGTAATTCGGAGTTCAAACCAAGTAGGCTGCAGAAAACAAATATACTGCTGAAGATCACATTTGGGTAAGAATTATCATAGTCTTTTGAATTTCATGTAATTGGTATAAGATTTCAATAACTAAACAAAGTAGTCTTTGGTGTGGTTTAGGCAGACTAGTATTTTAAAGGTATCAGATAAAGCGTATATTCAAACAATATAATAAATTAGATAAGCCTCATCAAACAGCTTTGATTTGATTGGTATGTGTATGTCAAATTCTGCAGAAGAAAGAACTATAGGCCAACAGAAAATATCAGTCGTTAATTTTCTTAAAATTACGAATGTTCACGATCTTGAATGCGAAGAGTAAAATGTATGACACCATATCTTAAATTTAATTTATACCTTATTCTTTAAGGAACCTCTAAAATGTTTCGTTCACCTCAACTTTGTGCTTTGTTATAATATTGGCTTAAGACATGTTTGTATGTAAGGTTATACATTTTTAAATATCGTATCTCTTTTTTTTTCTACCATTAAAAAAAAAATTACACTAAAAATTGAGCAATTGTGATCCAAAGAATTATGAAAGGACTAAATACAGCGAGTTTTAAATCTTGAATTTTGTCGTCACGAATCGCTAACTGCATATAGGGTGTAATTTTTACAAAGATCACTAAACGAATCGCCAATCAGGTCTCCTACACGCCACCATGATGTGCTACACAACACCTCAAAATTGATCAGAACCAGAAAAGTTTTGAGCGTTTGTAATGGTATTTGCCCAAAGGGACAATACACGATGGCACAAAAGCGTAGCCTAGGTTGGATACAGTGTGTGACCTGACTTGCTTGACAAGAAACATGTGTGTCAGCAACACTTTCCAATTTTTGTTTAGGTGGTGCAGAGACATATTCAGCATCGGAAACAAGGAAACTCTGACAACGGAACATTTAGACAATGTACCAACAAACGCAACATCTGAGTTTTTGGTCAAGAAGTTGGAAAGGTTAGTTGTAATATACTTGTAAGAAATTCAGAGGAAAAACAGCAAGATGGAAAAATAATAAATAAAATCCTAATGCAAAACATTAACTGTAATACAAATAATAATTATTATTTATAATATATAATAATCTGGCATATAAATAGTTGTAAATTATCATAAGACCCTGCATACTAGATGCATTGCCAATAAACATGTTTTATAAATGGATGCCTTGACAATAAATATATAAATCTTATTTTACAATCACCAGTATTTTCATTTGATTTTAAATTACAAGTGAGTGGGAAAGACAGCAACATGAAGCAATGAATGGAGGACCACTACCTAGTATACGATGGGCGATAGTTCGTACTTTCTTTCCTCGGATATTTCTCTTCAATATACTGGGATTTATCATGGTTTGTAAAAACACTAGTAGCTAGTTTACTGTCCATCTATGATTTTTGGCCTATTTTCTAATCAATGTAATTATATAAGTTACATTTTTCCGTTTATACACTTTGAAAATACAAACGTCCTGAACTTTACGCCCTGTAATTGGCTAAAATACAACACGTATTCACAAATGCACACGCGCACGCTAGCTGATTGATAAGTCTACACTGAGTGAGCCATTGTAACTTTTAATACATTACCCTGAAAATATTAATATTATTATTTTTAACTCTAGGAAACTTTCAAACTATTACAATCCATAATGTTTGGAATGTTTATAACATTATTTGCGGATGACTCTACGACGACAACGGGAATGGGTTTGGTTTACGCAGTTCTGCTCGCAGCAATCATCGTTATACCTGACATTATCCGTGAGCCGTTAACATTTTACAACAAACTTTTTGGAAGAAAAATTCAAGTGGCATGTTGTTCGCTGATTTACAAAAAGGTAAATACTCCTGAATTAGGAATTTGTATAGGCCCTATGATTTATCATTTTCGGATAGTTGCCGTGTGTCTCTACATGTATTGTCGCTTAAAAATTTGCGTGTGTTTGTGTGTGTACACACAGTTGTCTGGTTTTGTCGCAATATTTTGGAACGCGCTATGACAAGTGAACCAAAACTCCTGATGACGACGCAATATCATGTAATGCAATTTCAATAATCCATTTGTAAACGTGACTCTCATTATTTTCACAGGCCCTGAAGTTAAATTGTGCAACTGTACCAAAAAATCATCCTATGGTTTCTAACGAAACGGGAAAATTTGATACAGTAAGAAACAATCTTCTACCTTTTTTATTTTCTTTTGAGAATACCCTTTGAAAGGTTAGGACAATCAGAGTTTTTCTAACATCTTTGGATAAATGAAAACAAAATATTGATTTATAATAGGCCTACTATAATAATAATTATAATTATCTATATTGATAATGTAAGTAAAGCAACCACAAAGTTCCAACGATCGGCCAAGTGAGTTCACCCAAACACACTGAGCAATTAAACTACGCCTGGGAGCATTGGTTTTGTTTCATGTTTCAAGTCATCATTGCTAGTGTAAACCAAGCCTTATTGACAATGGCTGTTCACAGCTCAGTACACTAAAGGTTCACAAGCAACAAAATTTACAATTTAATTAGCTCACTTCCTTGCTGTAACTTGATATTTTTATTGCTGTTGGATATGAAACTTTTTTATATTTCATTTTTTTTTATTTTAATGCTGTTTATATTCCTAATTCTTTAATCCATCTCCATACTTGGCAGTTTAACTTTTATCTTGATGTTCTCTTTTCAGGTGTTTTAATGTTTGTTTTTATTATTCGCTTTTTGTAGTGTCTCTTAATGTTTTATTCTAATGTTCATATTTTGACCAAATTTTGCCTGTATATTTTGTACAATATTTTGATGTTCTTGATATTATAACGTAGCTTGATGTTCTTTATATTTAGGTATCTAAATGTGTGTTTAAATTATTTGGTGTGTATTTTAACGTTATAATATTTATGTTATATATTTTTACCAATTTTGCCTGTATAGGCCTATTTTGTATTTTTTATCCATGAGAAATACTGTTATCTTGAATCTTGAAAAAGTGGATGACAATTAGGGGTTCTACTTTCATGTTATTAATTTTGTAATGTTCATTGTCAAAATGAAAATAAGTTTCTGTTGATAATTAAAAAATCATATTTTTTTATCTTCTATATATAAGATTAATTTGGAATACCCAGTTAAAACCCTATTACATGTGATTATTGTTTTCGTAGATATCTACCGTATTTCCATACCTGTGGCTGGGACCATTCGATTGCCTCTTGGCGTTGCTTATACTCGTCTTCTATGTTGACATGTTTTGGCGACATGTGCTACTTGGTTATTTCATCTTTGTTATCAGTTTTTTACCTCTTCAGATGCTTCAGAGAAAAATGCATAACATTTACAGGTTTGGGCAAATATAAAACATTTTATAAAATGACATGCCTCCATTTAAAGATGCAAACAGTGCAGTTCCATTTATCACGTGGTTAAGTCCAACATGTTTACATTTTCAATCAAACTGATTATAAATATACATTCACAGTTTATGTTTTCATCATAATTTTGTTTTAAAGGTGATGATAATGATAACGTTTTCATCCATAGGAAAAGGGCTGCTACGACAAGGAAATATCGTTTATCTTTATTGACCGAGATTTTTACAGCCATGCGTGTTATAAAAATGTCTGTTTTTGAAAAAAGCTTTTCTGGAATAGTTAAAAAAAATCGAAAGTAAGTATTTTTAAATTACAATTTTTGATACTGAATACACTATTTATTACTGCTACCAATTATGTTACGTGTGATTATCGCTTGTGTAAATCTTTATAATAGTGGATTTTTGACGAATAGTGGGTTTTTGACGAATAGTGGGTTTTTGACGAATCTCTTGAAGCCATTTGAGCAATACTGTACAGCTTGTAATAGCAATATTCTTTACAGAAAGACATTGACGAGGAATTATTTTATTCATGAGGAATTTTGTTTACCACTAGGGCTAACTCAGACATTTCAACTTAATTGAATACTGTTATTTTTTTGTTTTTTCTTCAATGATATGTTCAATTTAATTGCAATATCGAAGAAAAATTATATTAGTGAAATGCAGCTAAATGCCAATGTTACTTTAATTATTTATATTAATGTGATAAGGATATGCAGTATTACGAATCGAAAGTGAAAATGAGAAAAACAATATGTGATTTATATGAATTAAGATGATAATGTGAAAATGTAAAAAAAATGATGAAAAATAAGATTTTGAATATGGAGTAAAGGTGGTCTACCCACACAAAAGAAAAAAAAGACTTAATTTGAAGGAGATAGAGATTTCATTACACCAATTTTTTCTCAATGATATGTTCAATTTAATTGAAATATTTAATAAAATTTACTTTATTAAAAGGCACCTAAATGACAATGTTACTTAAATTTATATTAATTTGATAATGTTATTATGAATCGAAAGTGAAAATGAAGAAAAATGTGATTTATATCAATTGTGATATTATTATGATAATGTGAAAATGAAAAAAAAAATGATGAAAATAAGATTTTGAATTTGGAATATTGGCGGGGTTGCTATCACAAGCGCACTGTGTTGACGTACGCCTTTTGCATCTTTAACCACCAAATTTCGCCGGTATACAGAGATGTTACTACTATTATAACAACAATTCTTGAATTAATAATTAGCAAATTCTATGGTCTATATAAGATAAGAACAGTGCTGTGTATTCGTATGTTGATTGGTGATCAAATTCTGTAACTGTATTTTGTTCTCCAATTGAAAATTAAAATTGTAACATAGTTAAGCTCAACTCTGCCAGTGTATTTAAATAGGTGTTTGCAGTGGCGGATCCAGGAATTCGAAATAGAGGGGGCCCAAGGGGGGATTTTCAGAGATGGAGAGTTCAGACCACCTCAGCACCAACCATTTATGATTATGGCACCTCTAGATGGCCGGAAATGGCACTCTCAGGCCTAAATTTGATTAACATTTTTCCTTTTTCTCCATTTTTTGTTTATAATTTAGAAATTTTGAATAATTTGGTAGGGGCGGCCTCTCACGCCCTCCCTTCCCCTCTCGGATAGAGATAAGTACGGCACAAAAAATGCTCATAATAAACCTAATACTGTAAACTTTTTTTTTACATTTTTGTAGAGCTGAATTATCATCCGTTTTACTTTCTGCAATATTTCACTTTATTGCAATGGCGATAACATTCTTTGGACATCGTCTTCTGGAGGTTGTCTATTTAACCATTTACTTCGTGACAGCAAATCAGTACTTGATCTCTGATGTGTTTGTTATCTTCAGTCTGATGTATTTACTTCGACCATCTGTATTAGATTTCTTCCCCCGAGCGTTATATCTATATCTTGAATGTCTTATTGGATGTGATAGAATAGAGGTATGTGACATCAGATAACAGAATATATATAGTGTCTAGTTGTACTTACATTGGAACGCATTGATGATATGATGTTATTTTTTTTTTTATCGCCTTAGGAATTTATGCTTCTTAAAGAAAAGAATAACGCATCGACAGACTCAATGTACACACACTCAGAATGCGAAGATGACACACGCGTCGTTGTGAATGAGCTCTGTTGTTCTTGGGAAGTAAGATAATGTTTAATTCTTAGATTGTTCTAAACACTCATGTATTCCAGTAAAGATATATTAAGGATAAAATATGCACTTTAATTTTGTATTTGTTAGAATAAAGGTACTCAGACCCTCCAGAATATATCAGTGGATATCAACAATGGGGAAATATTCGGTGTTGTTGGAACGAGTGGTTCTGGAAAGGTGAGTTGTGATGGCGGTAATAGTAGACTACTACTACTAGTAGTAATAGGCCTATGTAGTAGCAGCAGCAGCAGCAGCAGCAGTAGTGCTAAGTGGTACCGTAGTAGTGCTATGTTTTTATATTGTTACCTTTTAAATGTTTACAGTCAACGTTCCTCATGGCTCTGCTTCATGAAATACCTATTACTTCGGGGGACATTCAGCTTTATGGCACCATTGCCTACGTTTCACAGAAGCCGTGTATTTTCCCGGGAACCATTCGACAAAATATATTATTTGGAAAGAAGTATGAAGAAGATAGATATTTACAAGTCTTAGAAGCCACTGCACTTACAAAGGTAAAAAAACAAAAAATTATATTAAAGGTGCTGGTAGTGCTATAACTAATTGCAGGACATTTCAATTCAACATGCATGGAAACTGCTGCCATAAACGTTATGGCATCGAGTCGTAAGAGAACCATTTACATGTTTATGAATTAATATGATAATTGCGTGAATTATAATGTACTTGGATTTGTTTTATCTTCTTTAAGGATATCAAACGTCTCCCTGAGAGAGATTTATCCATGGCTTGTACAAGTGACACACCCCTAACAGATGACCAGGTTGCCAGAATTAACCTTGCAAGGGCGGTGTATCAAGATGCTGATATCTACCTCCTTGATGAACCATTTAAAGATGTTGATGCTACAGTTGCAAAATATATATTTGAAAAGTAGGAACATTTTAGGAAAACACATTTGTAAAAAGTTTACATCATGTTAAACAATCATCTGACATGTCATTGTGCTTTGGTTGCATTGCATTCTATTAGCACTGTGTTTTTTATTTGTTTATATTTTTGTATTGTAACAGGTGTATCATGGGATATCTTAAAAAGAAAACGCGAGTTTTTGCAACTTGTCATGCGTTGTATCTACGAGAAGTGGATAGAATTATGGTTTTAAAACAGGTAGGCCCTAATTTACTGTTTTAAATTCCTGATCCAAAATGAGAAACTAAACAATTGGGAAAACAGATTCACAGTTGTTATTTTTGTGCATAAAATTGCTTATTTGGGTCTATGTGGATGATGCAGTCTACTTCCATCTTATTACATAATTTTACGCCATTTATAATCGTTGGTGCATTAGGCCTACTAACAGCAAGCAACCGTGTTCGGACTTATGTGGGATGTATCAGAAAGAAATCCAGTCAAATGCAACTGACTAATCTTGCAAGATTCAGAATTTTTGACATAACACGAACACAAGCAGTCACTAAACTATGACAGGGCACATGGTACCAGTACAATTTAAATACAGTCTAAGAATATTCATCTGTTTCTTGCAGGGAAAACTAGAGGTAGTTGGAGGATACTATGACGTAAGAATAATTGAAGAATTTATCTCTTCTTTCACTTACAATTGCAATGAGTTCCCGGAATCAAGGAATGGATCCGTGAGTAACGTATTCTTAAACTATTTATATTGCATAGTAGATGGTAACTGGTAAAGTACGGTATTATAGTAAAGTAACAGCACAGCTCCACTCTTAATGAAACAATCCTAAATTTTCTTCCGAAGGCTGTGCTGTTATAAAATGTATTTCCTTGGAAGAACCAGGGGTGGCACCAGGATTTGCCCGACGGGGGCGGGGGGACCGAAGCCCCCGAAGAGGGACTTCCCGCTGGCGCCACCCCTGGGAAGAACAGATATAGAACTACACAAAAACACTCTTACCGCTAATCACAATTACCACGAAACTTTTTGATCGAAATTTATGAATCATGAAGGACAAAAACGGCAATTCAGAGTTTAGAGTAAATTGACGTGAATTACGTCACCATTAAGAGATGGATGGGAAAGAATTGTGAAAAAAAAATTCGTCAAAAAAAGAAATTTAGCAAAAAAAAAA